CTACGTCACACAGTGGAGTCTCTCTGATTGGTTGACGCAGCGCGTCGAGCTGCAAAAGTTCAGTTTTTCTGACTTCAGTGATCTGTGCCTCAGCGCGTCGAACGCTCAGATCGTTCAAATCGTTCAAATCGCGCTGCTCTAATCGCGCTCGAGGCGCCGCAGMACTTCCCGATGCTGATTGAAGCRCGTCCACCATAGACTTTGTATGTAAACCTGCTGCTCCTGATGCTGAAATCATGTTTGGTGTGAACGCASCATTAGAGTCGCTGCTGCTGCTGGTGAGTTTCAGAACTTGGTGCTTGTTGAGTTGAATGGTTTGATGTGAATGTTACAACTAATCGGGGATCCCTTTAAGGTTGGTTATTTATTGTTTTACTGATTATAAAACCAACCTGATTATTTCAGTGTTCCTCCTGCTGTGTGCTCGAGGTGACAACAGTTTGGTTTGTGCAGAAAGATGCATTCAGGTTGTTTRCAGCAGTTTTTGTTGCGTCGAGCTGCAGTTTGAAGTCGTTGGACCGCGCCGGTCGCACGACATCAGTGTGTAATTCAGGTCTGTAAATGGGCCATGGGGGTGCGTCCTCTGCACTGCAGCGCCGCTGACACACTTTACTGCATCTGCTGCTGCTGCTGSTGGTGGTGGKGGGGAGGGGGAACGAGGACAGGMAGGGAGGAGGGAAACGTGATGAAGCTGAAGAGACGGTGGTGTCTTGTGCTGATAAAAGAGGAGTTATTGTTCAGAGGTCAACAGGTTTGTAAGGAGTTTCTTTCCTCTCGTTTCTGAACTGAAAGTTTAAATCCTTGTTTCCAGCCGGAGAGAATAGACCCCAGTGCATCCAGGCAGGGCTACGATGTCCGCTCAGACGTGTGGAGTCTGGGAATCACGCTGGTGAGTGTTTGCAGTTCACACACAGACCACCACAGTTAGTGTTCCTGTTCACCCACACTGATTTTGTGTTTCAGTACGAGCTGGCCACGGGACGCTTCCCCTACCCAAAGTGGAACAGCGTGTTCGACCAGCTGACCCAGGTGGTCCGAGGAGACCCACCACAGCTCAGCAACTCTGAGGAGAGACGCTTCTCTCCTAAATTCATCTCCTTTGTCAACGTGTGGTAAGAATTCTGTTTGTGAAATGATTCTGCCACCTGGTGGACAAATGCATCAACTGCATCCTTCGTCTTTTTCAGCCTTACAAAGGATGAATCTAAGAGACCAAAGTACAAAGAACTACTGGTGAGTGATTTGAAGATGAGTGTTTTCACACTGGAGGAGTTTTTTCTCACGTTTTGCTTCTTTGTGGACCGCAGAGAGATCCGTTCATTCAGATGTACGAGGAGCGCTCCGTCGACGTGGCCTGTTACGTCTGCAGGATCCTGGATCAGATGCCAGCTTCTCCCAGCTCCCCCACCTACATGGACTGATAACGGGACAGACCCGAGCACATCATTTAATCTACTACAATCTGAAAGTCAAAACGTGTCCTCTACATTTGTTTGGTCCCCTTATTGCAGTGTTATGACAGTTGTAAAGTGATTTCCGTCTGTAAATAAGAACACATCTGTTTTTCTCTTGTTCACAAGGACACAAACACTAATGTATAAAAGGAGCTCAGTCAATCAGTCGTGACTCATCGTGATGAGATGCATCTCACAGAAAAAAAAAAAACAACAAAACACCCTGGAACTGATATTTATGGAACTAAAATCATGGAGTTTCTTTTTGTTTTGGAGAGTCTCCAGCATACTGGAATCATTCTGTTTGTGAATTCTTCCACCTTTTAGGTGTACTGACCGCATCGTTGTTTGGCATTTAAATAAACTGCGCTTCTCTGCGTGTAAAGCAGATTTAAAGTGTTGGTGGGCCGAGACGCGGCAGACTTTCACACCTGTCGCTTCTGCAGTGGAGAACTATGAGCTRGTGAATAAAGAGAGAGAGAGAAGGAAGTGATGTGTTCCCTTTTATTACTGTAATTCTGACAAGTTCAGGTTTAAAACCACAAATACACACTGAAGGTGTGGATATATTTGGTTGTAAATTGGTCAACAATATTTCAATAAATCATGATTTAAGACATTCAATTCAATTCAGTTTATTTATACAGCTCCAAGTCCCAACATACGTTGTCTCAGGACACTGTAGATAAAAAGAACAATGTAAAGAAGAAAGCAGCAGATTGTGTTGAATCACTTCATCACAGTCTC